GTGTGTGTGTGTGTGTGTGTGTGTGTGTGTGTGTGTGTGTGTGTGTGATGGACAGGAATGGCCTTGGACCCTCAAAAGAAGGAGAGGCTCAGTACTCTGTGGTGCATTGCACTGGCTACATCAAAGCCTGGCCCCCTGCAGGTAAACAAACACACACACTCATACACTTCCTGAACTGGATGCTCTGGTCTCTATCCCTGCTTAACCCAAACTTCACCTCACTGCATGAGTCCCTGCTCAGAGTGTAGCCTGATCTAACCTAAAGCAGCTGTGCACAGCTATGGATCAGGACCTGGATTCAACCACAGTTCCATAACAGCCTGTGTGGTTCTTGTATGCCGTCCAGTGGAGCCGCAGCATTCAGAGCAGCTTTGTTGAAAGTCTGTTTTGATGCGAGACTCTGCTCCATCCCATGAGCCTGTGCTCACACAATATTGCAAAGCAAACATTTCATATCTTTGTCTCAATTTGACTGCTGGAGTGTTTTTGCAGTATGTTTTGTGGCTGACCAAATTCTCTACTGACAGTACAGGTGTTTGCTGTAACAACAAGCCTGTCTGTGGAGTGTTTCCCCCCTACAAGGGGCTTCATGTGAGCCAGGTGTTCCTCTGCTCCAGTCTCTTTACACTCAGGAAATGGAGTCATATCAGCATATCTGCAGCTTGAGTTTTTGGCATTTATGCTGCCTCTAAATATCACCTTAGGGCAGCATTCCTCACATTTGTTATGGAGCTAAACAGGAGTGGATTTTGCTGCTCTTCTCAGCTCACATATTGTGGTCTAGTCCACACCGTGAAGTTAGGTCGTAAGATACCCGGTCGAAAATCTATCTCTGGAGTACCAAACACATAAAAGGTTTGCACAGCAGCTGTGGTCAGGCAGAATACACATCTGTTACAGTACATTCCAACAAGAACTGTATTCAGTCCAACCACTGTATTGTATGCTACACACGTAACACCTGCAAACAAAATTCCATCCATGTTGGTGAAGCAGCAGTGAGGGGTTCAATTTTTCCAACTTTGTAGGGAGCGCCATCGAGCCTTTGGGCTGACAGTCCCAGTCAGGTGAGGGAGGTCAGACAATATTTATTTGACAATAAGAAAAAATAGAACAACACAAAAAAGTGTAGAAATACCTTCTGTACTTGTTCAAAATGTCAACTGAAGCCATCCTGCAGGATTTGTCCCAAATCTGTTCTCAAGGTTTAGAAGACCAGATTTAGAAAATAATTTTAAAGAATCTAATAATCATAAGTATTTTATGTAACTTTGCCTCACAGCGTGTATCAGTAGAACTGTAATATCCTGTTTATCTGAGGCACACCAGACCTCAGATGCTCTCTCTGACTGCACTATGTGGTGTTTACAGAGACATGGTTTGGAATGCACCCCCTTGGTCTCAAAGCAGGTGGCTGAAGTGTTAAAGTAGATGATGGAACGGAACAACATCAACACACGACTAAACGGCCTCTGAGGACTTCCAGGTGACACTGGAGTATTTCTCAGGTCTAACACACACCATGTGTGTTTTGAAATCATTGACACATGGTTTACTTCCTTGCACTAAAAATACTCCTTGGAATGTTCTGGGCACAATACTTCATGCAAGCAGTCATCAGGCGAGACACGCGCACTCATAAATTGCAGATGGATAACAGATAGGATGCACATTGAGGACCTCAACAGATGCTGCTGACTGATCTGTTAGACGAGAGGAATGTAGCCATGAGTGAGGACAGAATCATGGTTCTGTTTTTATGTGGAGAGGAGCTGATGGAGGCTCATCCCTCTCAACTTTATGGTAACGTGTTATTGTTAACTGGAAGGAATTTCTGTCTGCTCTGTGATTACTGCATATTAAACAGCATGCCGGCCGATCTGGATGTGATTACAGACCTTTTATATGTTTTTGTAGACTCTGGCCTTTGGATGGGCTGTGGATGTGGTATATCTGGGTTGATCCAGAAAAGGATTACATGGAATTTGTCTCCGGTTTCCACTCCGCTCTCAATGTACGAACACTATTTTACAATAAACAAGAAAAAAATATATAAAGAATAAAACAGGGCGGCAAAAAAGTAGAACAGATGTAGGTATAAACATAGCTATATACAATATAAGTATACATATATCCAAAACAAATGTGTGTGTGTGTGTATATATATATATATATATATATATATATATATATATATACTGTATATAAATACACACACATGTGAACATCAACCTATAAACAATGGCAATTTAATTGAGGTGATAGAGCAAGTGGTGGTAATAGTGCAAACAGAGGCAGAGGCAATATGACTTATTAATTGTTCATCAGAGTGATGGCCAGTGGAAAGAAGCTGTTCCTGTGTCTGGTGGTTTTGGCGTACAGAGCCCTGTAGCGCCTACCAGAGGGGAGGAGTTGGAACAGCTTGTGTCCAGGGTGTGAGGGGTCTGCAGTGATCTTTCCAGCCCGTTTCCTGACTCTGGAGGTGAACAAGTCCAGGATGGACGGCAGGCTGGAACCAATGATCCTCTCTGCAGACCTGACAGTCCGTTGCAGTCTGTTTCTGTCCTGTTTGGTGGTCGATCCAAACCACACAGTGATAGAGGAGCAGAGAACAGACTGGATGATAGTGGAGTAAAACAGGATCAGCAGCTCCTGAGGTAGGTTGAACTTCCTGAGCTGGTGCAGGAAGTACAACCTCTTCTGGGCCTTTTTCCTGATGGTGTTGATGTTGGGGGCCCACTTCAGGTCCTGGGAGATTGTGGATCCCAGAAACCTGAAGGTCTCCACACTGTGCTGTTGAGTATGGTGAGGGGGGGGCAGTGTTGGGGGGCTCCTCCTGAAGTCCACTGTCATCTCCACAGTTTTGAGCTTGTTCAGCTCCAGGTTGTTTCTGACCACACCAGAGGGTCAGCTGTTCAACCTCCCATCTGTACGCAGACTCATCACCGCCCCTGATGAGGCCGATGACCGTTGTGTCGTCTGTGAACTTCAGGAGTTTAACAGTTGGGTCCTCTGAGGTGCAGTCGTTGGTGTAGAGGGAGAAGAGCAGTGGGGAGAGCAGACATCCCTGGGGGGCGCCAGTGCTGATAGTCCGGGTGCTGGATGTGATTTTTCACAGCCTCACCTGCTGCGTCCTGTCAGTCAGGAAGTTAGTGATCCACTGACAGGTGCAGGCTGGCACAGTGAGCTGGGAGAGTTTGGGTTGGAGTATTGC